GTGTGTGTGTATGTGTGTGGCCAGCTCAGCCCACCAGGGGGCGGGGCTGGCTGGCATGTGGTGCTGGGGGATTGAACCGCGGTCCTGGTGCTTTGGGAAGCTTGTTCTAAGTAGGCGCTTTAGACCACTGAGCCATCTCACCAGCCCCAAGCCTATCATTTTAAAAAATTCATAGTTCTTTTATTTCTGGGATTGAGCTTCATGTACTTACTGGATGTATTATTTCTTTTATGAAATTATATTCTTTCTACATTTTTTTTTTTGTGGAACCGGGGATTGAACTCAGGTCCTTGAGCCTGCCAGGGAAGCGCTTACTCCACTGAGCCATCTCCCCGGCCCTTCTTTCTACATTTTTGTTAGATATATATTAGCTTTTTCCTATTTTGAGATTGGTAATCCAGTCTGGCCTTGAACTCACTATGTAGCCTAGGGCTGGCCTCAACTTCATGGTGATCCTCCTGCCTCACCCTTCCAAGGGCTGGGATTACAAACCTGTACCACTACGCCCAGGCAGTGTTACAGCTTTTAGGAGCTATTTGTATTTTAAGGTTATAATTGACACAGAATGTAGATTTTTACTTCATCTTTTAACTTATTCTAAATACAAAAAAAAAAAAAAAAAAGGTACACATTTATGTAGCTAAATATGTCTGCCTTTTCCTTTAGTTTTTTTTGCTGCTATTCCTGGAAGATCTTAAGACAGGTGAGTGTTCACCAGGTGGCTTAAATCCTCCTGTGCTCTCGTTTCACTCTATTCCAAACCCTTAATTAGCTGTAGAGAGCTGCAGAGCAGGAGAGATGACCTGATACACCAGAAAGAAAACAAAAACGACTTCACACTCGGATTAAGGAGGACCACACCACTCAGCAGCCCACCAGTCTGCAGGTGGAGCAAAAAACCACAGCTGGGCTTGGCTGTGCTTTCGGCCAAGGAATGTCACACTGGAAGCAGACACTCACAAAAGCAGGGGAGAACCAAAGCAACCTCTAGAAACACTGTAAGAAGTCAGCAGACTGTCTGGCATGGAGTTCCCGTTCTCTGCCTGGCTGACCCCACGCAGCCTTGTCAGTTTAAGTATCACTTCTTCAGAGAAGCCTTCTTTGACATCCTTGTGACCAGAGGGTCTCAGTCTCACAGTGCTGTCATTTCCTTCACAGTGATTCCCACAGCCTGTAATGATGTGTTTAAGTGTTTGCATGTTGAACGTCTGTCTCCACCACTAGAAAAATTTCCCTCAAAAAAACCGAAACTGTATTTTAGAAACCCATCGCACCATGATGCCCAACTCAGCAAATATCCTACAAAGGGCCGGCCAGATAGCTCAGCAGATTAAAGAGCCTACTTAGGCAGAGCGCAGCGGCTGCCCCTGACCCAGGGACGTGCTGAGACAGACATTGAGATTGGGCATGGGGGCCGGGGAGATGGCTCAGTGGAATAAGCACTTTCCCGGTAAGTGCAAGGGCCTGAGTTCAATCCCCGGTTTCACCAAATTAAAAAAGAAAAAAGAAATCTTAACTTTGAAATTATTTGAAATAATAAAAGAGGTAAGAATTAAAAAGAGAGAGAGAGAGAGAGAGAGAGAGAGAGAGAGAGAGAGAG